GTGCAGTGGCATGGGCCTCAGTGTGGGTTGTACAAGCCTGTTAAGGCTTATGGGCACATAGATTCATAGACTGTTAGGGACTGGAAGGTACTTTGCAAGATCATTGGGTCCAGCCCCCTGGCACTAGGCAGGAAAGACAACTGGGATCAGGTGCCCCGGTGAGGTGACCGTCCAGTCTCCTCTTGAAGATTTCCAGGGTAGGTGATTGCACCTCCTCTGGAGGGTGTTTATTCCACAGTCTGGACACCCTAACTATGAAGAAGTTTTTGCTAGAGTTGAGCCTGAAGTGGTCTTCCAGGAGTTCGTGGCTATTACTCCTGGTTTTCCCCAAGGGTGCCCTGGTGAACAGTTGTTCACTGAGCCCTTGATGTATTCACTTGATGTAGCGGTAAGCTGCTACTGAGTCCCCTCTCAGCCTTTGCTTTTTTAGGCTGAAGAGACCCAAGTCCCTCAGCCTTTCCTTGTATGACTTGCCTTGCAAGTCTCTGATCGTATGGGTGGCTCTTCTTTGGACTCTCTTAAGCTTTTCCATGTCCTTGTTGAAGTGCGGAGCCCAGAACAGGATGCAGTACTCCAGCAGCCGTCTCACCAATGCTGAGTAAAACAAAAGAATCACCTTCTTGATTTTGTTTGAGATGCATGGGTTGATACATGCCAGAGTGTTATTTTTCCCTCCTGGCTACATTATCACACTGATGGTTCATGTTCATACTGTGGTCTGCTATTACCTAGGTACCTTTCAGTCATGTTGCTAGTCAGTTTGGTGCCACTGAGCCTGTAAGTATGTTGGGGATTGTTCGTCCCCAGATGGAGCACTTTACACTTCTTAATTTTGAACTTCTTCTGGTTCCGATCCACCCAACTGCTAGCCTGTTTAGGTCCACCTGTATCTGCCTATTTTCAAGCATGATCATGCTCCCTCATAACTTGGTGAGGGAGCTTTTCACCCCCACATCCAAATCATTGATAAAGATGTTGAAAAGCACTGGACCAAGCATGGACCCTTGAGGGACACCCCTGGCCACTTCTCACCAGGATGACATAGATCCATTCATTAGAACTCTTGGTCCAACCCCACAGCCAGCTTCCTACCCACCTAACTTTTGAGCAGTTAAACCCACCAAGGACGCAATCCTCCTATTTTCCTGTGAGAACATCATGGGATACCAGATCAAAGACCTTTTGGAAGTCTAGGTATACAGTGTTAGCCTCCTCTCTCTTATCCAAGTGGCAAGATACCTGGTTGTAGGAGATGAGATTGGTAAGAGAAGACCTGCCTGCTACGAAGCCATGCTGGCTGTCATTCAGAATCCTACCTTCTGCAAGCGTATCGCACGTATACTCCTTGATGAATTTTTCCAGGATTTTCCCTGGGATAGAAGTTAGGTTAACTGGCTTATAGTTGCCTGGTCCTCTCTCCTCCCCTTCTTGAACAGTCATAAATTACTGCGAGACCATTTCAGGCTGGACATAAGGAAGAATTTCTTTACTGTCTGAGCCCCCAAGGTCTGGAACAGCCTGCCATCGGAGGTGGTTCGAGCACCTACATTGAACACCTTCAAGAGCAAATTGGATGCTTATCTTGCTGGGATCCTATGACCCCAGCTGACTTCCTGCCCTTCGGGTTGGGGGCTGGACTCAATGATCTTCCGAGGTCCCTTCCAGCCCTAATGTCTATGAAATCTATGAAAACATGGATACAACATTGGCCCTCTTCCAGTCTTCAGGGACCTCTCCGGAGCACCACGAGTTTTGGAAGAGTTTTGCCAGAGGTCCCGCAATGACTTCGGCTAGTTCCTTCAGCACTCTCAGATGAAGTTCCTCTGGTCCTGCTGACTTATAAATGTCTAACTTTTCTAACTGATCATGCACCAGCTCAACATCAGCAGTAGGAAGGCAGTCATTCCCACCATGCCATTCTGAACCTTATCTAGTATGATCTTCCCATTAGTCAAGTGAAATACCGAAGGAAAGTAGTCATTCAGGAGCTCAGTTTTCTCCTGAGTGTCAGTAACAAGCTGTCCTGAGTGGTTAAGCAATAGCCCCACACTTTCATTTGTTTTCCTTCTGTTTCCTACATACTTAAAGCAGGACTTCTTATTGTCCTTGATTTCTGTTAGTAGTTTAAATTCAGTCACTGCCTTAGCCTCTCTAATCTATTCCCTACAAGCACGGGCTGTTGTTGTGTAGTCAGGGACAATCCCAAGCTTCCCTTGTTTGTATGCGTTGTTCTGCTCACTCCCCCTCTTGCCCCCTTTTTGTGCTTTGCTGGGGCACTGCATTTTGTTGCATCTGCTTGTTTAGATTTCTTGGGCTGTGTGCTCACTATTTACTGGAATATTTTCTTTTTACCACACTACTTCTGTACAACTGTTCACCTTTGGGGTTAGTGGGTCAGTCTTTTACCTCAGTGAGTGCAGGGATAGAGCTGACCAGAGAGTAAGAAATTTGTTATGCAAAAAAAAGAGAGAGGTGCTTTTAGTACTTAATTTTGTTCTGCATTGGGATCAAACAGAGACGTTTAACATTGTGTGAGCATGTATGAGAGAGAGACCCATCCCAGAACAACAAAGACCCTGGCTTGGAATATGGGACACTTAGATGCCTAATTTAACAGAATGGTGACTTGGGGCCTGGTCTTCCATGTCCCAGGTAACAACCAGCCTGTACAGGCAAAGTCCCAATTAATGGAATCAAATGGAACAGTTCCAAGAGAAACAGGAACCCACCCCAGAATGACCGATTTCTCTGGGGTGGTTAGGGCTCTTCAGAGATGAGCTTGATGCAGAGCAGGGACTTGAACCAGAATCTGTCACATCTCAGACAGGTGGTGCAGGCATTGGATATTCTGGCATGTGTCTTACTTTCTTCTTCTTTTCTACCACACTAGGCCTAAGACACCAGTTTTGAATAAGCTGGTTTCACCCCTTCAACAGAAATGTTGCAAAACAATTAGAAGTAAAAAAAAATCTCAACCTGCTTCTCATTTTCCCTTTTCCCGTGGATGCTGCAGTCAAAGGCATTTTTGTGATTGGACCTTACTTAATTATCTCTGTATGTAATGCAATTGGTTGTACAAGTCTAACAAGCGTTAGTTCTTTGATATTGGACTTTATCTGTGCTTCTCTCTGACTGTTCCACTAGTATCCACTCTCTTTGCGACGTGGTTTCAGTCAGCAGTGTTTGCTATCAGAGACATAATGTGAAACCTTCTTTGGGGACTAATTGCCTTAGAAGTGGTGCACTCCTAAATTCTGTGGTGCACTCCTAAATTACAGCACTGCCTAGGCAAGAATAGTTTAAGCTGGTTATGTTTGTGTTTGTCCTGAAGTCCATTTAACTTCTGAGAGTCCTGACAAAAGTCTGTATATACTGATGATTGTGGCTTACTGTGTTTCAGCAATGCAGAACTCTGTTGTAGCAAATGGGTATCAATTGATCATTTCATGAAGGGTTATGATTTTTTATCTCTGACAATTGGCAGGATTCGGACTGGTGTCCTAGAACTGAAGGGATCCATGTCTTAAGCCAGGGGTAGGCAATGTTTTTTTGCCTGAGTGCCAAAACGCACCATGATGCCTACCTTGGAAGGTGCCGGAGTGCCGGCATGGCAGAAAAACAACATGAGGGCAAGGGGTACATGGCAGGATGCCCTGCTTGTGCCCCCTAGCCCTGCTGCCCCTGTCCCCCAGCCCTGGCTCTGTGGCTGTCAGCAGCTACCCTGGCTCTGGGTAGCTGCTGGAGCCCAGGCTGCTCCCAGCAGGGTTTGCAGCATCACAGCTGCCTGCTAGGAACAGCCCGGGCTTCCGGCTGGCAGAAGCTACCCAGAGCTGGGGCCAGCTGCAGCCAGGAGGCTCCAAACAGCTGTGCCGGGCTCTGGGCTCCGGCATCAGCTTTGTACCGGGGCACGCACCCACGCGTCGGAGCAGGCGGTGGGGGAGGGTCCTGAGGCAGTGCAGCTCCCGTCTCTCCCCTGCTCCTGGCACAGAGGTGATAGCAGGGTTCTGGAGCCCGGCGCCACTGTTTGTAGCCAGCCTGGGCTCTGGGCAGCTGCAGCAAGCAGCGGGCAGGCTGTAAACAGCTGCACCAGGCTCCACAGCTCTGGCATCAGCTCCGTGCTGGTGGCAACTGTGTGCGCATCTTGGGGCGGACAGCAGGGCAATGCAACCCGCCCCGAAGTACCTGTTTTTCCTGTCCGGGCTTCCGTTGCAGAGCCTGCTGGCAGCAGGCAGCTTCTGGGGGCAGACAGCAATCTCCATCACCCTGCTTGCTACCTGGTTGACTGGAAGCAAATTTCTACATGTGCCTTACTGTGCAGTAACTACTCGGCAGTTAAGTTGCTACTTGCATTTTGAAGGTAGCAAATTAACTGCCGAGTAGAGCAAATTATTGTGCAGTAAGGGTTTGCATGTGTAGATGTGATGCTTACTACACAGTAATTTGCTCTACTGTACAGTAGTGCCCACTGACTATGTGTTTCTTAGGGTCAAGCATCTGAATGAAGAACTAACTCATAACTTCTGTAAATGGTTTTTTCTTCATATTTGGGTGAGAGAGGGTGTGATAAAGACGCTATTGACTTAGCTTTTCTGGCCTGGGTCCAGGGCTGTGTGTGAACTAATGAGCGCTGAAATTACTGTAGGCCATGTTCTGCATTGGTCCATGATCCAAGGTGCCCAAATGTAGGACAGTTTAACCTTACCTTTTCGGCTGTTGGTAGTTACAGGACCTTCGACATGTCAGTGGAGGGATAATAGGCAAAATATTGGCCCTATGGAAACTGATAGGAATTTTGTCATTGAAGTCAATGGAGTCATGATTTTGCACAGTTTTCTTCATCTGTGCAGTGGTTTAGTAATCTAAACAGGAATTTCTTGCTTAGATATCTTTACTAGTATTGTTCTTAGGAACAATTAAGAGCCATTTCCTGGTGTATTTGGTGCATCAGCTGTACCATAATACGCTGTTGTTTTTCCCTCTCCCTACTTTGTGTGCTATAGAGATATGTGGGACAGTTTTACAAGGACCATCGCCATGGCAAAGGGATTTACTTCTGGCCTGATGGTTCCAAATTTATTGGAGCATTTTATCTTAGTCATAAAGAAGGTTGTGGGACCATGGAATTCAAGGATGGAAGAAAATATCAGGTAACTAAAAAAATCTAATACGTTCTAATAATCAGTAGTATTTACAGAATGTGAATTTGTGCTGCTATTCTGGTCATGGTGGAAACTAAGTGTAAGTGTGAGAGTTGATATGATTCTGAAGTAGTTGCTTTAAGCTTTTGAAAGAATTATTTGAAGAATTATTTCTTGCCCTTTGTAGAATTAATCAAATACTGGATTTGAGCATGCACTGAGTCCAAGGCCTCAAAATCGACTTGCCCAGGGTGTTACTTTAAACTCTGAATTGTGAGTGAGTGAGTGAGTGGTCTGTCTGGCTACAGGGAAAAAAAAGAGTTACTGGTTAGACTAACCTGCAAAGACTGAATCAATTGAGACTTTTTGAATGTCTGTCCCTAGCCGAAGAGTTGTGATCAAATACATCTCTAGTGGGGGAGGGTGGATTGAAGAAGAGCATAAATTAATCTTTGAGCTAAGATCCCATCTTCAATCACTTAGCAACTTTAGTGTAAAGTTTTTCTTAGTGAAATAATAGCCTTAAGAAAGATGTAATGTCTTCACAGAGCTAAAGTGTTGCTGTATGGAAAACCTTTTGTCTTAAGTCTCTAATATTTATGTCTACCACATTCACAGTGGTTGTTCAAGGAGTCTAATTAGCTGGTCAACAATCTTAAGGGACATATTAGCTACTGGGAGCCTGGAATTTGAAAGAGAAAAACACTGTGCTTAAAACAACAGTGGAGGCGGCACCATTCTAAGATGCCTAAACAATGCAATTGCATATTTTGCACCATTTTAAGACTTGCTCAACATTGCTATTAGAATGAGGGTGTAAACAAACATTGTCTTGGTTGCAGGATCAGTTATGCTGGGATGTAGTTGACCCACTTAATTGGCATTTACAGATGTTGCCCTTGTTCCATCCAAGCTGGCCGAAACTAAGTGCCCCTTGCTTTTAGGTGCAGCAGAGTCCAGTCTTGTGTGCTGAGCTGCTGAGGGGAAGCCATTCATGGTCTCAAGCTGCAGCTGCTCAGGCAGAAACTGCACAGCCTTCAGCAGTGACTGCCCAAGTGCATTCAGAAGGACAGCAGGTCCACAGCCTGCACCCTGCCCATAGCAGCCTAAAGGCAGTTGCACGCCTATGCCAGTGCCTCTGCTGCACATGAGTAGATGAGCAGACCCATGGCATATTCGCCATCCCACTGGCTGGAGCAGACTCCATGGTAGATACCAGCAGGTGAGCTGTAGGGTGCAACTTGCCACTGTCTCCTTTCTCCTTTATGGTAGTATCTTGGTATCCCATACTTCCCTGGGTGCAGCAGCTGGGGCTGGGGCTAGGGAAGGGGCAGCAGTACTACATCCTGACCTGGTGTTGTGATAGGTGACCCTGCCTTTTTTTCAGTCCAGACGCACCTGCCAGGTGGTGCTCACTGCCCTCAATCCAGCGTGGGCTCTGTTGTTTCTCACCCAGCATTCAGGTCAGTCTCCCCTGCAAGCACCAAGCCAGACTCTTTTTCTTTTCCCCTTTTTTAATCTCTTTACTTTAAAAAGAAAGAAGAAATCCAAACATGTTTTGAGTTGAAACAACTCCTCATGGGGTTTCCTACTCCACACTTCAGATGTGTTCTCCAGGAATTTCTCTGCAGGGGAATGAATGTCTGTGGTGCTCAGTAAGCAGAGAGATGTCCTCCCCGATATGGCATCACAAACTGTAACTAGCAACGGTCGCAGAACAATTTTTGGCCAGTTGAAGTGGGACAAGGGACTACAACATCTGTTTGCTCGTAATATGTGCTGCCATAAAAATGTTTGTGCACCCTTAGAAAGCTTATTTTCCTAGCATTTGTATTTCTTTCAAACTTTTTTTAGCTTTTCCAGGGTCAGGCTGCCTCTGAACTGAATCTACGTAGCACCTACTACAAATTATGCCTGAAATATACTTAATAAATATAGAAATTCACTAACATTATATTTTGACTTCATCTTGTTCTATTAAAACATTTTAAGTCTTTGCTTAGGTTTGGTGAGAGTTAGAGAAGAGGAGATGAGCCAAGGGATCAGATAAGGATGCTTAGTTTTGCCACGTTTTAAACAGAAAGCAGACTTAAACTGTGCAATGTGATTGATCTCTCTTCTTTAAATTCTGGCAAACCTGCTTCTCCCCAAAGGGTCTGTACAAGGCTGATGAGCGATTTGGACCAGGAGTAGAGACTTATCCAGATGACTGTCAAGATGTTGGCTTGTGGCTCAAGAATCACATACTTAAACTGTGCACTGAAGTAGCTGGCTATTTTTCTGTCCAAGCTTACCCAGAATACTGCGATTATTTTGATGCTGATTCCCAGAGGGAGTACCTTAATGATGAGGAAATTCCACATACAGCTGTGAATGAGGAGAAGGACCCATTTTACTATAGCCACAAATGTCTCCTTTTAGATGACAGTTACACGTTGCCTGAAAAGATATACGTCTACTCGACTGACATGGATCACCTTCCTTTGACTCGCACCTTCCATAAAGAGTTTGATTCCCAGGTTTTTCAGAATAATAAACAGATATATGATGAAGACCCCTGGCTTATTACAAATATAACCCCGTTAATGATCAGAATGCAGAGGCACATCTACAAATATAGGTAGCTATTGATTTTTTTTTTTTTTTTTTTTTTTTCCTGAGAGTGGATTTTTTTGTTGTTGTTTTCTTAGGTGATTTCAACGGCTGTTTCTACCACAAGTTGCAGTACAAAAGTTTCACTCTAGGGACTTTTATATTGTCCCAGGGTAACTTTAAAAATTCATTAAATAAGTTGCAAGTGAGTTTTTGTGAAACAAATGGTCTATTCCATTTGTACTTCTTTAGCCTAAAGGAAGCCTTCTTAACTACCATTTGTGGTTTATTGAATGTGTGTGTGTCAGCTCAGATCCGGAGTGTTCCTATGAACACATTATCACTGCGTGTGTGTCAGAATGCCTGTAATCAAGTCGGGGGTTCCACTGAGCAAGTGGTTGTGCACAACCATGATGGGAGACATCCTGTGTCCTCAGAGTTTAATGGGTAGAAAGAGATGAGGGTAAAGATTAGAGGAGGGGCAGAGTGCCAGATTTTTAAAATTACTGAAAATATGGCCTATAGCGTATTTCAGAGGGGTGCACAGACGCACAACAGGTTATTCCAAAGCCTGATATATCCACTTCCAGGCCATGCAGAAACATGCTCCAGTGTCAATAGCTGTTTTGTCCACATTCAGCTGGCCTTCATTTTGTATGCAAACATGTACTCATTTATGCAAGAAAATACTGTTGACACGTACAAATGTGTTTACAGGAATACTGTCTGTTGCAGCCTCAAGCATAACAGCACAATTTGGACATTTTAGTTCATATTGGCACGAGTGCCGTATGTTTTTTGGTTGTTATTATTATTATTATTATTATTATTTTTTGATTTTCAAAGAGCAGCATAGAAGCCTACTGAAGCTTGGGCAGTTTGAGATCCACTGTATTTTCTTGCATACAACACACCCCCGAGTAACATGTGCACCTTGCTTTTGGAAGGCAGACTGTAGGCAAAAAAGATTTTTCCTAAGTCACAGTTGACTGTGACCTAGAGTCAATCTTCCTGGAAAAACTGTGTCCAGGACGTGTGGGAAGAGACAATTTGGATGAGGCAATAGGTAGCAGGAACTGCCTGGTGCCAGCTGGCTCAACTTAGGTGGAGAGATCACCGTGAATACCTCTGGGACACACTCTGTTTCCTGGAGGACTTTCTCCTAGGGCTGTGCAAAACTTCGGTCCCTGATTATATTCGGCAGAGATTCGGCCTGATTCTGTGGCTGAATCTTTGAATCTGAATCAAATTGGGAGACCCTTTAATCTCTTCGAATCGAATCGGAACCCTCTGAATAGCTTCAGAGAGTTCGGAAAGATTTGATGATTCAGCCATAGACACAGCTTTAAATGTTTTTTCTACATACCTCAAGGTACTAGGTACTAGGCTGAGATGGTGGGGTGGATGCAGCATCCCACAGGAGTGTGGGGGGCTCCCCAGTGTGCTCGGCAGCAGACCTGGAGTCCACCGGGGGAGTGAACTGGGAGGCCCCTCCGCACCCCCTCATCTTGGTGACTGGTGTCTCCTGGGTCTGGGGGGGGCACCTGGGGTCCCCCCGTGGCCAATCGCTGAGGTGGGGGGGGGGGCCCCTGTGCATTCGGTGGTGGACCCAGAAGTGGACCAGATGTACTTCCGGTCCACTTCCAGATTCACTGCCGAGCATGCAGGGGGTCTCCCCACGCTCCTGTGGGACACTCCATCTGCCTTGGCATCGCAACATTTATAAGCCACACCTGATACTATGTAGAAAAAACATTTTAAGTTGTGTCTTCAGCTGAATCGCTGATTCTCTGAACCAGCATCAAATCTTCAGATTCAGCTGAATCAAATTGGGGACAGTGATCCAAATCAACAGATGGAATCTCTGTCCCTGATTCAGGCTGAATTCAAATCCAAATCGAATACGGCCCATTTCACACACCCCTACTTACTCTGCGTCACGCAAGGTTAAGCCCCAGACCCTTGCAAGGGCAGAAACAAGACTTTACTTTAGTTCTTTATGTAAGTTCCTGTAAATAAAGTATTGTTTCCACATTCTGAGTCTCATTTAGGTACTAGCAGCAGCTCACTTGCTGGTTCAGGTTGCCGTGCTCTGTCAATAGCTGTGGCTGTGAGAGGATTAACACAGATCTCCACCCCTTCAGTTTGCTGAGGCAGGCAAGTGCATGGCCTGCACCGTCTCCAGGCATGTTCCGTTTCCAGCAGAGGAAACACCTTTCCTTCTTAAGACCCCCTCCCCCCAATTTTTGGAGGCTGATTTTTGAGTAAAAGTTGCGTGATGTATGCAAGAAAACATGGTAATTTTTGCAGCTATTGAGGCTTAATATTTTAACCATTTCTTTTATGAATGTTTTTTCTTTTTTTCTTTCAAGGCATTGTCAGGCAGAGATCAGCTGGGATATTAACTTCATTCTGAATGGAATTCGAGATCCCTTTGGACCTAAGGGCCCCAAAGAACTTGCTTCAGAGCAGCTGATTGAAAAGGCAGCAGCAGGAGACTTTGAGAGAGTTTATGCAATTCTCAGGGATGACCTTGCTCACCCAGATGTAGCTGATAAGCGTGGGTACACTGCACTTGCTGCCGCTGCTGTAAGATTCTGAATAGGACTCTTCACTGTATGAATGACGACATGCAGATGAGGGGAAATGCCTGCCATGAGGCCTGTTACGTTCTTTACAACAGTGGATTCTTCTCTGTACGCATTGTTAGGTGGTGTAAGTTATTTAAGTAAAATCTTTTCACGCAGGCATGTGCTTTGCACATGTAGAGCTCACTGTTGTAAAGAAGTTGAAACACCATAGTAACTGCTCCAGTTTGAGAATGCAGATTTAGGCATTGATATAAGTGGGTGAAACTCTTCAATTTTGGTGCTTTACAGTGAAATATTTCTGCATATAAAATATTTCTGCCTTGTTTTAAAAGTTTTATTGGTTTTGCCTGCCTTCCAGTCACCTATAGAAAATCACTTAAACTAGTGAAAAAAAACCTGTCAGATCAGTAGGAATGCTGTTAAGTTAGAAAGCAAAATTGCAGTCAAGTCAGCTGCAGCATTTTGAGTCTGTTTTGAGGCTTTTTCTAACTTTAACCACATGTGTGGTTTCAGTTCCATTCTACCAGGAAAACTATAATGATATAGATGATATCAGGCATTGTATCATATTGGGTCATATCTCATAAGAAAATAACCCAAGCACTTCCATCTACAGGTAAATCACCACAATGACATCATCAATCTTCTTCTCAATAGTGGAGCTGATGTGAACAAATGCAATGATGAAGGATTATCAGCTTTATCAATGTGTTTTATTCTGTATTACCCAGTGGAATCATTTAAGACTAATATTGCTGAAAGGAACATAAATAAATATAAGGTGAGTTTATTATTAATCTAAAGTAGTAAAATCAGAATTTCTCACTCAAACATGTCACAGGTCTGCTTTTAAAAATTAATTTACTGTGAATAATCTAGTAGTAGAATAAGGTCAATATTTTACATTTCTTGACTCAGCAATAGGAGAGTATGTTTAACACTATTGAAAACTCTTATTTCAGTGTGGTAACACTCTCAAGATCCATGTTTGGGAATAGGCTGGAAATCATGGGGGGTCTCTCTAATGCTTTTAAGGGAGTCTAGGAACTCAGGTGCAGAGATCCCAGTGAAATTCCCTGGCTTACTAATGATGGAGAGCAAGCAAATACTATATGCTAAACAGAGTTTATAAGGATTTGAAATTAAGATGGAGTAAAATAATGTACCATAACTCTATCATAATATAACTAGTTTCATTATTTTTGTATGGCTGTCCATTAATTGTTACATCCTAATGTTCGCATATGATGATTTACTTTATTGAAGATAAGACTTTTCCATTTTTATTGCTTCAGGTTTGTGATTTTTATTTTTTGTTTTAATTGTTAAATAGGAAGCACAGTCAGTATCTTCAGAAGCTGCTGCTACACTGGCAAGAGTATGGGAACATTCTACAAAACAGAAATGTTTAATAGACACCATTCGTGAGTCAGGCCTAATATCTCCAGTGTCCAGGGAAAGGGTGGAGTTTGCTGTTAATGATGAGATAAGAACATTAGATGGAACTGATTATGCGAGCTTAGAAAAGAGGACCAACTGCAGCATAGAAACAACCTTTGACTCAAGCCGTAGCGTTCTCAACTATGGAATTGAGGTTACTCCAGAGACCCTGCAGCACAGTGCAAAAGCTTTCAGCCACAGTTTGCTAAAAACAGCCTCCTATTCCTGTAGACTCGGTGGAGATGAAGGCACAATGAGAAAAATGGCATTATCTATATCAGAGTAAGTCCTACTCAAAAAAGCCATCTACTTTGGTCTGACAAGCTTATGTAATGCCTGGTGGGCCCTGTTGCCTAGGCAGAGCAACACCCAGTGTCTCTCATGTTCATGGGTGGAGTAGCTTTCAAGGAGACAGAAATTGGCAGGATTTCTATTGAGCAGAGGAGAGCAAATTGAACAATGCCACATAGACGTTTTCAGTGAAGTGCCTCCTTGAGGGAAAAGAATGAGATTACTCAGTTTATTTCTTCTCAGTTGCATTTGATCTTCATTTAATGAGGTTGCATGTTGGCTACTGATAGTACAGGTAATCTGCTGCAGCATAGATTGAAGTGCAGTAAGCGACGGTCTCGCCCACATAGAAGCTGAGGAATCCTGTGCTGGTTGTGGTGAATGGCCTCAGGGGGCCTTATCTTGCCATTGTTCCACATGTAGAATTATCAGTTAAGATCCTGAAAGTTTTATCATGACTGATGGTAGAACATCTAACACGAGGTTATTTTCAGAGCAGGGTCTTAGCTGTATCACTACTCTTGATACCATTAGTTTACTTTTCTAGTGCATCCTAGATCATGCATGTGTTTTTAGGGTGGACAGGTGGGTGTATGCAAACTGTTTGTTGGAACATGAATGTACGTAGGATTACAGGGCATATGGGTAGAAATTTAGTCATTTTCATACTTTTAGAATATCCATATAACTCTCTTGAATGTCAGTATGAGCTGTAGTATTCCAAGGATAAGTTGTATTCCAGGTATAGGAGTAGCTGAGCTAGTGGGCTTCAGGAAGTCTCCAGAGCAGTTGGCACTGGTTCTTTTTCTTGCTATTGTTTAAAGAAAATATGGAGAAATGGTAACATCTCCAACTGAAAGTCTCCATTGCGTTGGGATGGATAAATGGAACATGCTTAATCAAACAGAATTCCATGGCCCCAGGCAGGGATCTTCCATATTTGTAGCCTCTGGGTTCTGAACACAGGAGCAGTTTTTTTGGTAGTCAGATTTGCTGAAAGGGATTGAAGTAAGAAGGGCCATGACCCCACCACTCCTGCATTTCATAACATTGCTGTCTTTGTAGCTCATGTATTGTCCAGCTGGAGTGATATAGCAGACATGCTTCATTTTTGCCCAAGTATGATCTTTCGTATCTGAATCTTGGAGGCCAGTGTTGGAAAATATGGCCCTGAATATGTTTTGGATTTTTTGTTTTGCTTGTTTGTTGTACGAACTAATAATAGAGTGTTCTGAGATTTACCATAATGACTCTAGACACCAAAGACGATGGGAGACCATCAAACTGCTGCTTCGCAGAGGTGCAGATCCCAACACTTGCCGTGTCCCGTTACCAGTTCTCTTCTTTGCTATTAAAGCTGCAGATGTAAATACAGTGAAACTACTCTTAGAAATGGGAGCACGGACTGACGTACAACTTCCCTCTAAGGTAACACAGCAATTTTAGTGGATACTGATTATGAGTAACTTCAGACTCTTACATTTAGTTGCTGTCAGAGATACAACTTTAACAGCTCTGTGTAAAGTTTAATACATTTAATGAAATTCTAATTGTCAGGTTCAACTTTGGATTTCTGAAAGAGTCATTTAAAGAAACTATTGTATTAACCATGTAGCTTAAAATAAATATTTAGTAAATTTAGGTTTTACTTTTTGACGGTGTTTATTTTTGATACCAGCAAGAGAATATTTAAAAAGTTGAGTTTATTTACTATATACATATGTAAGTACTTTTGGCATTTCTCTAAAGGGGGGAAACAAAGATAGAGTGGTCAGTGTAACTTCCTTCTGTAGTCCCCCTAAAGAGTGTTAGACTGCTGCTTTTGGTCTTCATGCCAGTGTCTGATCCTAGTGGGAATTCCACAGACCAGTTTCTGTACTGTCAGCTTAAGGAAGGAGCATCTCATGCCAGCTTATTGTATTCTAACTTCTTATTCCCTTCTGGCCATAGTGCCCGAAGGAATTCCTCAAGCTTTTTGGTTTACTAGAGTCTATCGTGATGTCATTAAATGTCTTCTCAAATGCACATTTCACTATGAAGTATCTTTTTTTTTTTTGTAGTCTCCTAGTGCTTTGTTTGCCACAAGTTGTTTTTTGAAATATGTTTATTTTGGAGTCTATGAATAATAATACCTAGATCTCTTAGAGCGCTGTTCGTCAGTAGACGTCAGAGTATTTGACAAAGAAATCAGTATTATTGTTGCCAGTGATGGTGCCTGCACCGCTCTGTGGCTCCTACTAAAAGTTTTGGGCACCTTCCTGCCCTGGCTCCAGTGAAAGTTGTCTTTCCTTTATTCCAATTGCACCCTTACAGAACAGTAGCCTGGCAGATTGTCCCAGGACTCAGCTATGAAACTTACTGGCAGATGGTACACACGAAGGCTGTCCTGGTTTTTGCTGGCACTTTTTCTGGAGGTCCCATACAGGACGTGTCTGAAAAGTCCAAAGTCTTTAATGATCCAGGAGTCCCCTGTGGTTCAGTGGTAGACTCCTGGTCTACCACACAGGAGACTTCGGTTTGATTCCCAGACACTTATACAACTACAGCCATGGAGGCAACAAACATCTGCACCCAGTCTGGTCTTTGGATTCTGTCTCAGTGACTTAAAGGGAGGATGAAAGGTCTGGGCGGCTGCTGCTCCTCCAAAAATTCCTGCCCAGGCATATACATCAAAGGTCTGGGTGGCCCTCATGCATACACCAATCTAGGAAGATTGATGGTTGCCGCCACCACCACCACTGCTTTAATGATCCGGAGTAATTTCCTCAATGGATTAGCAGCCGGGTGTTGTGGCTGGTGCCTCACACCATGCTAGGGTTACTTACCAGGTTTCCAAAATATTTTCCCAAAGCAACATAACTTACCCATAGGCTTGCTTATGAAGCAGGTGCCAGGATTAGGCCCGCTACCTTTTGTCTCATAAATGGGCTCAAAACAATGATACAAGAGTAATGATGTTTTGTAATGCATTCTTTTTGAGCTGGGGTGTGTCTGTGCAACCATTTCTTACACCAGTTAGATTTTTCATTTTGGAGGATATTAAGGTGAACCTACCCTAAAATCATGGCAGAAGCATTGATTTGAAGTGGTACTTTAACAGAGCACAAATATAATCCTTTAACTCTGTTTTTGTTTCTAGGCTAGTATAGATGGGGCCTAGGAAGAACATACAGTACCTAAATTTTAGATGCTACTTGTGGTGGCTAAGAGTCTTATTGCTGCATTTATTTTTCAGCTAGGAGGTTTAAGTCCTCTTCATATTGCTGTAGCAATTCCTGGAGAAGAAGGGGTCAAGATAACAGAATTCATCCTTCACTCAGCTGTAGATCCTGATACAAGGGCAGAAGATAAAGATGATGTGTATGAACAAGACAGGGTGAGTTGCCTCATTGGCTCAGTCTCCCCCAGCTGTTGAAGTGCAGACTGTATGGAGTTGACTCCCTGCCTGATGGATGCAGAATGAAAGCTCTGCACCCTGTGGGAATAATTGTACTTCTTTTTAACCATTTGAAGATTTATTGATGTATAATAGTGGGTTAAAACAACATGTATGTGGCTTTGATGCACTAGAATACTTATGCAGATGCATCATGAGTGTTAGGCACAGGCTAGAAATCTGAAGTTTGACTTTGGTAGTGTGCATATAATCACTGTCTCTTGGAGGCCTTCTAGATGTTCAAGTAAAGATGTGTGTCTGACGTGTGAGCCATACAATCACATCTCTTGTCATGCCACACGTACACAACAGAAGGTGTGATTGTGGGATCCAGCACCAGATCCTTTCACACCTTATTGCCATGAGGCACTGTCAGGACCTAAAGTTCGTAGGTGCAAGACTCTAGGTCGTGGCAGGTGTAAGGCACTACTGAGACAGAGTTTCACCAGCTGTGGGACACTTGGTCCTAGAAGCCATGGGGCGCTGCCAGGATGGAGAGTCTTGTCAGCTGCAAAACTTCTTCCTGGCAGCTGTGGGGTGGTGCTGGGGCTGAGAGTTCCCTTGGCTGCATGATTCCCAGCCCTGGCTGCATGTTGTGCACCCCTGCATCTGGGAGCCTTGTCAGCTGATGGGGCTCCCAGCTATGGTGGGCAACCCTGCTATATGTGCAAATTAAAGCTTGATAGAAACCAGCTATAAAGTTAGTACATTTTCAAGCTCTAACTTTATAGCTGGATGGACTCAGTCTAAGTGAATTGCATAATTAACCAGTTAATTGCATAATACATGTAAGGCGTACGGGGGGCCTTGGAAACAGATAACTTTGTGGACTGGACCTGCTTGTTCTACCACCATGGAGGCAGCCTCAAGTTGATTTCTCTGGGTTTGAATCCAGACTCCCTCTGCTGGATCGCTGGGGCAATGCCTCCAGAGTAGAAGCATTTAAAAGAGTTATTTAAAAAGTTTGTCTGAGGTTGGTTCTTCTTTTTATTTCTTTAATACTTTTGCCAATATAAAACTGTTTTAATGTTAATGCAGTCATGCTAAGAAAGAGTCCTTTTCCTGGCATGATATGTTCAATTCAAGGAACAGCTGTATAGTTTGAGGGTACAAATCAATGTGCATACACTAGGAGGATTTGCTGGTATAGCTGTGCTGGAAGAACTTTTCACCATAAACTAGGTGTAAGGTGCATGACTCTGCACAGCAGAAAACTTTAGCCTGTCAGGGTTTTTTCTCTCAAATTGCTGGCAATTTGAAAGTAGTTTAAGTTCCTGTCAGTGAGAAGACACTGACCTTTGTTTTAAGTCATCTGTAGTGTCTGATGTGCTGAATCTCCATTCTGTTTGACTCCTTCAGAACTGGTGCCTCCCCCACCATTTCAGCAGGACAGCAGATGAACCTGCTCCTGCTGCTGGGATGTATTTGTCCAAGCAGTTTACCAGCCCATGTTGTATCAGACATAAAAATGGGCCATCTAAATGGCCAGGAGCTTCAGGGGGGAGCCTTTTCTTTCTTCCCTGTTCAAAGACAAGTGCAAAGTCCTGCACTTGGGACAAAATGATTGCACTTATACACCCAGACTGGGGAGTGACTAGCTAGGCTGCAGTACTGCGTAGAAGGACCTGGAGGGTATTGTGGATCATTAGCTGAATGAGCCAGCTGTGTGCTCTTGTTGCCAAAAAAGCCAACAACTTCCTGGGTTGTATTAACAGGAGCGTCACTTGCAAATCAAGAGAAGTGATTCTTCTGCCCTGTTCAGCACTAGTGAGGCATCTTCCTTCAGTCTGCTGGCAGTGCTCCTGCTAATGCAGCCTGATATGCTGTTGGCTTTTTTCACAAGAAGGACACACACATTTTCTGGACCATGATGGCTACAATATCACTCCAACACTAAAATAAAAAGGAGCATGTTTTAAAGATTTTTTTTCTGTCCTGTCTGCTACTGAATTTATATTGAAAATGGACTTATTCACCTGTTGCCCCATTATGTGAAGCATGATGCCAAAATCAAGCAAGGAAGTTTTACCTACTTACCTGCCTGGATTGTTGGCAGTCTTGAGTGAGCAGGTATGTTATGTCCTTTTCCCATTATCTATGTGTAAAAGAGCCAAGATTTAGAAGAAAAATAAAATCATGTACTTAAAGACTCTTGTTCTTCCCCATCCAGCATGCTTACCACCATGCTTCTGACAAGTTAAGGGGATACAGTGTCTATGGAATTTACAATATGATCTTATATTGATATAATCTTGAGAGCTGGGATGAAAAGAGTGAATTTGTAACTGTGCTGCCTAGATGACTCTTATGGATTTTCATGCATAAGAAACTAAATCAGTTTCCTTGCATTTGATTTTTTATTTCTCAAAATGGAAGATATCCATCAGTCTGAAAATCGCCTCAGTAAGTATCCAGGTTTATGGACCTTACAGTGAAAGGTGTTTTCCGGATGCAGTTCTATTGCAGTCCAGCAGATGGAGTCTGAATCCAAAGAAGGAAATGAGGATGGTGCGGGAAGCTTTAAATTGAGTTTTAGAAAACTCCATAATGGTGGATTGAGTGTGTCTCACCATTAATAATGTCCACACGTGCAGGTTTCTGGACAGGCACATTTTGTTACTTTGTTTCTAAGATGTATTGAAAGCATGTACCTATGTTTTGTTTGACTTGTTCCAATCCAGGGTAAAAGCACTGAATCATCTGTTGGTCTTGCCATGAAACTTAATAATGAAACTGGACCACCTACTGAGTACTATTCTTATTCTGGCCTTGTCCCAGAGGAAGGTGGGAGGACTCCATTGCATATTGTCTGTGAGAGAGAGGATAACCGTGAGGTAGGAACACAATGAGCCATAAGAATTTCCCACCTTCCTTTGTGTATGTATGTGCACGTGTTGTGGTCCCTACCCCCATGCAATAGATAGTATACTCACACCTCAAATAATTTACCTTGCTTATCTTGTGAAGGATTTTATGCCTCCAATAGGTGCTTCTTTCATGTGACTTTTATGGAAAGAATAATGCACTGATCGTTTTATGGGAAAAGGTGTGATCTTTAGTTTGTGACCATTCTGCTCTTCTGTGCAGTGGCGATTTTAGCTACCTGTGCAGCTGCACTGATGTGAACCCCTGGGCCTGGGGGGCAGTGCATCCTTCTTTGGCCGCTGCTCCTACTGTGCTGGCCGGGGACGGAGCCCATACCTGCTGGGCAGGGCACAGGTCAGTGGGGGCCCCAGGCCATGGGCGGGGTGGAGCCTAGAGCTCCAATGAATCTTAATCTGCCCCTGCCTGTGGGCAGATGACTTTTGGCTTCTGTGACTCTTGGGCCCATGCCTCAAGAAGAGTTCTGTACAAGGCATTGTTTCTGTTACATTTAGAGTGCGCCTCTTCCATTCACTTAGCAGATGTTTCTGTATCTAGGAGGTTGATGAAGTGAAGTTCATAGGCCCATCTCTGAAAAGTGGTTTGTAAATTCAAACAAGCACCAAACCTTGCTAACCTCATCACCAGAAGCCAGCTTTCTACAGCCCAAAACACAAAACCTGCCAACATATCTCCAGTACCCGCACAAACTGCACACCAGAATCTATCAAAAGTAAGAATACCCAACTACCTGTGGGGGCACATTTCTCACAAAATAACCACTCTGTCTCCAGTCTCTCAGGCCTGATCCTCAAAGGGAATTTTCAAACCACTTTTCACACATGGGCCTATGAACTTCACTTCATCAACCTCCTAGATACAGAAACTCACAAACTCGATATAGAAATTGGATTTATGACACACTACAGCCTGCCAGACATCTAACTCCCCAAGCACCTCTCCACTTCTACCTGCTACATCCCCCTTTCTGGCTACCCCAGCCTGTCTCTCT